TGGCTATATCCCCTCCCAAGTTTTTACCCACCCCCAGCCTACTGGGGAAATGTTGGGGTAACAGCCTTGGTGCTGTGTGAGCCCTGCTCAGCAGTAGTCAAAACACAGGTGTGTTATCTAGCTACCACTGCACAGCACGGTGAGGGCTGCATCTCAGGCAGACCCATTACAGTCTGTCACTGGGGAAAGCTCTGAAATTCTGGTTATATCCACCCAGAATGGTTACATTTGCACTTATCAGGGAGTTGGTGGTTGGTTCCCATTTGATTGCAATTTATGTCTAGTTGTCAGTGTGCGGGTGGAAAGAAGCCAAGTTTTCTATCAAGATGACAGTTTGGTAACAGATGTCTAAAGTTTCCCAACACATTTAGCTCATGTGACAGGAATCATGAGCTAGCTTAGTAAAGCTGAGCAGTTGGGTAATTGCAAACCTTTGCTCCTTGCATTTTCTCATTTATATTTTTTAGCTGCCCTTGGTAAGATTTTTTTTTTTTCACCACATTTGTATTTTTGGGAGGAAAAGCTTGAAAAGTTTTTCAGAGTAATCGTCATCCTAGGAGGCAATCACTTATTTAAATGGTTGGAAACCTCCAGCAGTGCAAGAAGCCACATGTTTTCCTCTCCCATTCTGCATACCAGGCATTGCCCAAATGCTTGGGCTGTCGCTCCTGTGCTGCTGTTTCAGAGTAACGGGACATGTGGATGATGGTATTTACTCCTGATCCCCCTGATCACTCTCCTTTCTTGCATGTGATGCCTGTCTGTGCTGAAGAGGAGGCTGAATCAAAGCATTTTAATTAGCAACTCCTTAGGAGTATGTATTTTATTTGGAGGGAGAGGCAGAAGTGGTGGTCCCAAGCCCCAACTCTTCTATAGGAGGGCACTAATACTCATTAAAGCAAGATTGTCACAGAAAGACAGTTGTTTGAGTGAGGTTTCAGTAGGTATCTCTCTCATTCAGATTTGCAAGAAACCTTGGAGAAGAGCTTGGGAAATTCTGCAGGATGCTTGTGTTTGAGCTAGGTCTGAACATCTCCTCCTCTGTGCTGTTGTGTCACAGCCCCTAGGGAGAAGATAACCTTGTCTGTTAGCTACAGGAGTGGACTATAGGTTCTATCAGGGTTGTTTTGGTGGGGTAGGTGACAAAACTCCGTTTCAATAAGCAAAAAAGTCCCATTAAGAGTGCATTGGGAGTTGATACCTCGCCTCCCACAAGCTCTTGTGAAAATCTCAGCCTTAATTTTAAAATCTCTTTATCAGAGAACTGACTTTTTGTTGTTCCTCCCTATTCGGCTCACACATTCTCTGTATCTTTTCTTTTTGTGCGCTTCCAGCTGATTTTCTGGGCGTTTTAGTCTGTGATAGCTGGGGCAAGAAGCTCAGTTACCAAAATATCCAGAGAAGGGCTCTTTCTTAATTATGTCTGATTAAACTAGAGTCAGAAAACGCCCTGAAAGTTTGATCCTTGCGTGTTTGTAGCTTCAGAATGTCACTGAACATGAGTGTGATGCTAATCAGCATTCATGCCTCTGAGCTTGCCTGAGATGTCTTCCCAATACACCTCTAAGCTATTAATTTAGGCATTTAAATCACTAACTCTTCCAAAGGTCAAAGAATCATTTTCTTGTTTGAAAAGTCTCAGAGCACTGGCATGTGGCTGCATATTTAGAATATAACTGTCTTTCTCCTTTGACTGCTAAGAACCTGATGGGAAGAGGCTGTGGCACCTGCAAAGCGGTACCCAGAAGAAATACACCCTGACCGGGCGCACTTGTGTTTTCAGCACAGAGTGCTGTGTTAGGTCCATGTCATCTTGCACAAGCGTGGCCAAACTGTCTCTACCATACATCCTATATCTGTTATATTCCCAATATATTCTGTTATATATTGTCTCAAGCATCCTCCCCAGTATCTAAGCATAGCAGATTTCTTCAACCTATTCCGGAACTGGATGTTTTCCTAGGGACACACCAATATTAAATTTTAAACTTCTGTATTTCTTTGTGCTGCCCGCCTGCTGCTTTGAAAAGGTCCCTTTTCCTTTGGAGGTGGTAAAGTAAAGCATCACATATGTTTTTCACTATAATTTTGACGAGCGAGGAGCACATGCTGCAAAACCTTGGGAGTTTCTGTTTAGGGAGCAGCACACTCAAATTAAGGAATTTGGAGGACAGGAGGTGAACTCATATTCTAAATTTCAGGATGAGGATTATACCCTGATTTAGGAGAAGGCTTGGGCATATTTGCATTTTGATATTTTTATTTAAATGACTGAAGAGATTTATTCTTAACCTTTGCAGGGCTGAAGTGCGTAACTCCTGTTTATAGGAATTTGATTTGAAAGTAGACTTTGACCTTTGTAACTGGGAATAAAACAGAATTCAGATGTGACTGTTGTTACCAAGCATGTGAAGGGCTTGCTTGCTTGATTTTACATGTGCTTTGGTTTCACTATATATTTTTTGAATTTCTTTTGGGTTTTGGATGCCTGTTGCACAGTATCTAGAAAACTGCATCAAATATGTTTTATATGCTTCATTGCACTTGCACGTGCTACTACACATATTGGGGTGGTCAAAGAGAATTAGCTAAGAGAATTAGCTAAGAGATTTCAAAAAGCAATCACAATAATGCTGCCAATACATTTTCTAAGCAAAAGAATAAATACTTTTTTTACTTTAAAAGCCATCAGCAGAGCTTTCAGCTTCTGCAACTCAACACACAAAATGTTGGGATTGGAGCAGCAGGTTCCATCTCCCATCAGACTGAGAGATTTTTTGGACAATTGGTGGAATTTGCAGGGGTTGGGATTAGCATCCTGCTTGACTTGCCAGCACCACGCTATGTCTTACCTAGTTTTTGTCCTCTCATGTTGCATGATGTGAACTATATATCATTTTTTTAGGACTTGGCCATGTTTCAGGATAAGAGGTATTATAGGGGGAAAATAATTTCCTCTCTCTGTCCTATATGTTTTTGGAGATTCTAACCCTTCTGACACACTGCTGTTTGGCATCTCTCATCCCCTGCTTGCTCAGCATTGAGAAATCCTCACTAGTGGCCCAGGGGAGAAGATGGGGTAGCTGGTCCCATGCCTTCCTGGGAGCACAAGATGGCTTCCCTTCACTCCCAAGCCTTGCACAAAGGTAATGCAGGGCTTCTTGACCTGAAGTTTTGCATCCATTGTTTGGCTGTTGAAGAGAAATTTTCCATGCTGGGATTTCATCTTCCTAGCAATTCTAAATCATTAAAGGTATTTAACTGGTCTATACATTTATCATGAAAATTAGACCCGTCTCATGCTCTGTCACCCCTAAAATGATGTGTCTGCTGTGATTTAGAAGGGAATGTATAAATACGTCTTTCCTTTAGCAAAGGTTTTTTAGTGACAGGTTTAGTATGCACCTCGTGATGAGTATAAAGCAATCGATAAGCAGCTGTGTCACACAAGGTTGTCCCAAGTTCAGAACAGGCTTGCTACTGATTGGTTTCCAAAATCGGATGCATCAGGCTGCTGTGGCCACAGGAGCCAGGTCACCAAGAGGATCTGGTGGCAGTATAAATAATAAAGCAGAGCTTCAGTAATTTGTCGACAGCACCCCCAAGATAAAATTGCACTTTATTGCATTGGATTTGGAGCTTGATGGTGTGACCTTTCACCTTTCTTGACACGTCTTTTTGGGTTTCCCTTTTAACTTTAAATGATTTCTTTTTCTCTTTCTCCCCCAATGTCATTGTGATTTTAAATAGACTGAAAAAGGTGGTTTGAAGGGAATTAAGTCAGTAAATCAATTCAGTCCCATTATTGAATTAGAGACAGGCATTACGGAAAAGGTACATTAAAAGGATAGACAGGTGGATACATATATATGATCATGGCTAACACTATGGTGTTTTATCTTTACACTGGCATTATCATGCACGAATGAAGCATCCAGGTGAAATAGCAGATGGTGGTCTATCTGTTAATTGCAAGATACTGTGGCTAAAATTAAGTACTGAAAACCAATCCAGCTCCCCCTTTACACCCTCCATGCCTCTCTCCATAATCCCGTCAATGCTCTTTTCCCATACAAGTCTGTGTCACCAGCGGCCAAAGGTTGTACACTCATGGGGACTTCTCCGGCAGCTGAATGTCAAACTTTATTGAGCGGGTGGATCCTGTTCATCCATTTCCCCTCCAAGCCTTTCTAAAAATATCATAAACCTTGACAAGGAGCTATTTTAGAGGAATCATATTCATGAGGGTAGTCATGGGAAGCTTATTTTGGCAGGCTTGCATGTGTTTGATTTGCACGCTTCCTTAGTCAAGGGCTTGGTGAACTTGCGTTGTGAGCCAGTTGGACATGGGCTTAAGAGAGAGCATCTGGATTTTGGGACCTCCTGGGTTGGGATGTCTGCTCCAAGTGAGTTTATGGGAGAAAAGTAGTGAAGATATTCATACAGGAATGTTGATATGTGACTGAAGTAATTCATTTCAGGCATTTGCACACCAGCCTGCAGCTTATCGGATCTGATTTCATAAAACCTGGCTGTGATTTCTCTCCAGGGACCTTAATGATCTTGCCACTTTCAATAAACGTTTATAGAAACTGCTGCCAGCCTGTGGATAAGAGAAACTCCTATGAGAGACTTTATCTTCCAAAAATACTTAAAGACACCAAAAAATACCACCCACAAGAAGATCAGTAGAAAATGTCAAAATGTAGTGTTTGCTGGGTAGCTGGAGCCGAATTGCAGTACCAGACGTTTGCATTGTAGGCATGCAGTAGGTATGTTTGCTTTTCTCACTTGGAAAACTGTGCACATCGGAGAGATGCTATAATTGGGACCAGCAAAACAATGAGTGTGAATAAAAGCAAACTGTAAGAGATAAGATGGAAATTAAGCTGGTAAAGGCCGTTCCACACTCATGCCATTCGGGTATGGTATTGCACAGTACTCATGTTTGCACCTCTAAGAAATTTGCATTTTTTCGCATAAAAAAATCCAGATACGAAGCCGAAGCTGCCTTCTTCGCCAACCTGAAACTGTCTGATTTCAACATCATTGACACCCTTGGAGTTGGAGGGTTTGGACGAGTTGAGCTGGTAGGTAACCTTTTCTTCTTTGAAGTTTGTGTGATGTCCTAGAATAAATACTGTGTTGTGAGTCTTTTAATTTTTCTGTTATTACACTCGAATAACTGGAAGAAAATTACGTGATTTTGTATTTTCTAATGGTTGAAGAAAATTAATTACATTTTCTGGGAGATCAAAATGTACAAATAAATGCATTGCAGTAACCGAGAAGAATGTATGTATTGGCTGAGAGAGAAGCACACATCTCTCTCCAAGTGGTGCTATGTTTATGGCATCGATTGCCTTTTAAAAACAAACTGAAGAATTGTATGGCTGTTGAGTGCTAAGACTGAAAGAGCAACCTAAAATCTTACTTAACCAGAACTGGAGCAATGGTATGATGTCTCCTCTAAGCAGTTTCTAATTCAGGTCTGGGGATAGTTCTACTTGATTATCATGAAAGCTGTAGATTCAATGTCTGAACTATGACAACACTTCACAGAAAACTGCTTAACCTTTGCAGAATTTTAGAGAAAGGACAAAATCTGAGCTTGCTTTTTCCTCTGCTTGGATTTAGAGCTGTGCAGTCTATTAAAACAAAGCCTGAGCAGGAGGAGACTGAAATGGCAGCCATTGTGTGACCCATTTGTAATATCATGTAAATACAAAAACTGATAACAGAAGGAGGGAGCTTAGTTTAGATCATGGTGCTGACCACAGAGGAGCTTCTGATACCAAACACCAGTACAGTATGTTAGGAACTTTTTTAAGTTAGGGGCAGAAAAGGGAACAGAGTTACTGCTGCCATCACGAAATTTTGAGGAAATCCCCACTCTATAACCCTGCAGGAGCCACACACATCCATAGTGCTGAGAACTGGAAAACCAGCAAAATGAAGTTTTTCAGTGATTATTTGTGACGTAACAGGTAAATTCTGTGTTGAGAGTGCGACTCGCTCTTCCATGTGATTTACTTCTGACTTTTCCTGTTTGAGTGTATGTAAAATTGTGTGGAGTAGAGCATGTCCATGAGAACACTGATCCCTTCCTGGGGGTTTGGGCTTGGATTATTTGTTTATTTGTTTATTTATTTATTTATTTATTTATTTGGTATTAGCAACTGTTGTTTTGGAAGAAAGTCACAAGAGTTCACCCATAGCCTGGGAAGGCTGTCCTTTCCCCACTCCTTCTATAGTCATCTGCTGCTGAGGATGTTTTAGGACAGGAGTTTAATTCAGGTTGCCCTCACCCTCCCTTGTGAAGGCACTTCACCCTCTGTTGATAACAGCATAAAGCTCAGGAGATTTGTCTCCCAAATCAACATCACCACTGGCTTCTCCACCTGAGGTGACTTGTAGTGAGGGACCCACCAGTTTGGGGCTTGTTTTGAATCTTCTGAAGGAGCTTGTGATGATTGTTTTCACTTTTAAGGCTTTTTTGGCATGTGATGTCAAGATGTTTGAAAACCTCAGGATGTTGCTAGGAGGGTGCATGAGTTTGTCATCATGAGGGATTGCTTATGAGACCCTCAAACCACACAGATATGAAAGCAAATTGGATTGTTACTGATGGCCATGGGCCAGTCCCCTACCTCTGGTTGCTCACAGAATTAATTTGGAAGCTTTAAGATGTTGGCAAAAACTAAATCTTAGCAACACGTGACGCTTGGCCAGGTGTGAGGAAGAGCAGGAGTGGATGTCCTCTGTCACTTTAATATATCAGATCAGAGTCAGGTAAAAATACTTAATTCTTAGGAGACGTCCAAATCTCAGAAGCCTCCAAGAAGCCCTGTTGCAACCTACACAGCCTGCCAAAGGCTGCTGATGGAAAAAATGCTTATGTCACCTCATAGGGGTTTTCTTCAGGGATGGGTGCCCTTCTGCTAAGCAGGAAAATGCTGGTTAAGGTAATTTTCTGTAGCTCTTAACTGATACTGAATGGCATACAGAGGGATAAAAGATACTTAAAAATTTAGCTTGACACTCCAGATGTTATAATTTTTCTTTACCACTGAGGGAAATTTTGTTATTAAAAGAAAAAAATACTCTTTTTATCAAAACTGAGCCTAGAATCACTCGCTCTTGCTTCTATCTTCTCCATGAAAAATGCGTTTTACAGTTTAAGGCTAAAAACTGAACTAGTGCGAAACATGTTGGAGGAATTGACTCTTTTATTGCCTGAGTGTGTTACGGTAGCCTGCTAGTGCACAGCAGCATTGGAATTTGTTCCTGGAAAATATCCACATTTTTGTGCTTTCTAAGAGTAAAACTGATCAAATAAATAAAGTGCATCGCAGGGAAGAGGATTTCTATAACTTAACCTCAGCCACTGGGGGCAAGCCCCCTCAGGCCATCTCTGTACCCTTCAAGAGGGCAACTGGTGGTGTCTGGTTGGAAACTGGAATGTCTAGGGCTTAGTTTGGGTCGTGCTGGCTGAGAAGGAATAACGCTTCCATTGGTCTGCATTTTAATTTCTAGGTGTGTTTTTTATCAATATAGGCTGGTTTTCCAGACAGGTCTGTGAATGCTGGCTGTTCGAAGAGGTCACCCATTCAATACATTCATACATGAGTACATGGCTTTGTACATAGGAGACAGCCTAAAATTGAAATTATTTTCAGTTTTCTGGAGAATACACATGGAAATATCTTTTCATCTTGTTTTTCTAGGTGGTTTTATTTTTTGTATGTCAAGAGATATTTCCAACAGATTTGCTTTGCTGTTGTACAACATTTGTTCAGGTTTTTGATGGCTACCTGATGCCTCTTGCAACATACCTTGTCCTTATGGATGCTGTTCTCCTTCTTCATCGCGAACAGGACTATGTAATCAACTTTTATCCAGGCTTCTCTTGAGAGGAGAAACCAGCTGAGTAATGGCTGTGCTATTTTAGACAGGGATCAGCTCTGATGTTGGAACAAGTGCAAATAAAGGCTTTTCTTCACTTACAGCAGGACCCCTGTGGTCCTAAATGTTTGAAAAGCAAACAGGCAGGTTGGAGAGACCACAATCTGCCCAGGGTCAGCAGTGCCACATTCCTAGGACAACCCTCCTGCATTTCAGAGGGCTGCCAAGTAGGTGCAAGCTGCTCTGGGACGTGTCTTGCCCAGCTGGTGGACACCTTCCTTAGCAGGGCAGAAAGAAGACAATAGGAGTGACTTTTTGGTTTTTAGTAGCATGGATTAACAGATGCATCTACTATTTTTTGCAGCTCAGCTTCTCAGCACTGTGTCAGTTGAGCATTTTCAGTGTTAGGAACCAGTGCCTCAACGTTGGAATAGGGAATGTCATCTCAGGTTCATGTCCCACAAAGCACCGCTTTGCAGAGGACAGGGATGTAGGTCAGGTATCCTCAGCCTTCATAAATCATCTCTGCTGAACTTTATTGCTCTCATCTTTGTTGTTTAATTTCCTTTTAATTTAAGTCCCGTGTTTCTAATCATCTGCCCCAGGTCAGTTATTTTGGAATTAAATCAAGATTATTTTAGACAGCTCTGAAATAAATGTGTTGGAGTATATGAACATAAAGGATTAGAGTCATTATTGCTGTGAAATCAGTTTGTGTAGGTGATGGCTGAGCACAGGTAGATGAAAAATGAGGTCCATGCCTGAACACATGCATTTGTGTTACATTGATTTACACAGTTATCGCTTCCAACAATCATTCAGTGATGGGGGAAGAAGAAGATTTTAAATCACTCCTGTTGTTAGAAAATTGCAAAAATAATGTATTTTCTCAACGCTCCATTGCAAGCTTGATTGAGACTTGGTTTCAGCTACGTCTTTGTTCACTCCTCAGGCCAGATATGCCAGTGAAAATGTGTAGACTTACCCACCATCCTTGCATGTACGCAAGCTTGGAGAGAGCTGTGCCTTCTGCACTGCTATGGGTAACATATGGCTTGGGACAATCTGAAGGCAGCAGGCAATAGACAGATTAAGGACAGTCTCAGTTTTCAGCCCTGACTTGACAAAACATGTAATCATATGTTTTAACCTTCAGCAGTTTTGCAGAAGTTGGTAGCACCCAGAGCACATATTTCAACCATATGGTCATTAAACCTCACGCTGGAAGGGACCCAAAGTGATGGTCATCCAGGCAGAGTCAAATATACCTAACCACTTCTGACCAGTTCTCCTTAATTTGTTGTTGAAGTCTTTAGGGAAGGAGGTTCCCGGGAAGGTTTTTCATAATGTTTAACATCTCCCTGCTGTAGCCTGTGTTAGGCTTGAAATACAAATACCTACCACCCTTGAGGCTGGGTTGTGGGTACTTGAAGACCGTGATCATGTGAACCTGAAGACCTTTTTTCTTTAAAAGAATAAATGTGCTGCTTTTGAGCATTACATCTAATTCATGCTTTCTAGGCCTGTGATTGTTCTTGTTACTCCAGCTGGCTCTCACCTCTTTGGAGCGATGCCCAAACCAGGCACATTAGTCCAACCTGGACCTTCCTCTGCTCACACAGAGCTGGACAACTAGGGGCAGCACTTTGCTGCTACTGAATGGTCTCCCTTTTATTTCAAGTCATCACTTCAATTTGTAAAAACTATTTTGAATTCCCTTGCTCTTCTCAAAAGTGCTCCCAGCCCTCTCTGTCTTGATTTTAATAGGTGCAAAGTTAATAGCATTCTTCTTATTTCATAATCCAAGTTATTAATGAAAGTGCTTTGTGGTGCCGTATACTAGACAAACCTGCTTGAAGTCCTTTTGGCTTAATAGTGGCCACTATGAGCTGAATTCACTTTACAATATGGAGATTAATAAAGACATAAAAACGAAACCTTAGTTCCAAGCACATTTCACTAAGGCTATACAAGACCTTTTTTAAATGGACAGTATGGCACTTTTCATTTTTTATTCGGGTTTTAAGAGAAATCTGGCCACGGATTATGAAGTGCAATCAAATTTATTATAGCCTGTTTTGTAAACAAAACCATTAGGGAATTAATTAGATGACAAGGAAAAAAATGCCTTAATTGTCTTCCAGTAGACTGACAGATGCGTAATTCAGAGATTTATTAGTGGAAA